GCCTAGTTGCATATCGAAAAGTTGTAGGGACTGTTCCAAACTAGGACATGATGCTCACACAAATACAGGATTGCGTGAAACCGCATTGTTTGAATAGTGAACCCTAGCTCCTGACGAAACTAGGACAAGGAAACCCTAAACCTCTCATAGGGGTATTTTGAATGCTTTTGTGCAAAATGTGAAATCTTTGGAAATGTATGATGCAATCCTCGGAGAGTCTTAATATTGAGGCGATTCCTTTCAAACTTGAGGATCATATCAGGATCAGATTTGGGTCGAAATCCAGGGGTTTGTGTTTGATATGGGTGAATTTTTTACAAAACCAAAACCATGGTCCAAAATTGTATCTTACTTTGCTTTGACCAGCATATCCGGTATCCCAATCTGATGGAGCATTTGTTTTTAATGCTAGGTTTGTCTGAACCTCATCCTTGGGTGAAATGATGAATAATGAAATATACATATTCCCTCTCGTTATATAACAATGACATTTACATGCGAATAAAAGAAATGCCCTGAGGCCTACAAAAAAAGAGAGGACACCACTCTTTATAAAAAAAAAAAAAAAAAAACCACTCAACAAAAGGTCTAGTCCATCTGATCCCTAAAAGCCAGCTCAAAAAAGATCCGATCCCATCAAATATAACCGAGTCGAAATCCTTGTTAGTCAACTCTTGGCTTACACCCATCTATTTCCTCGATTGCCAACTCAGCAGACCCATGATGGCTCAGAGTCCCGGAAGAAGTTGTAGCCATGATAGCGGCGTTAAACCAGGGAATTACCATGCAGGATGAGACTAATGCTGAAATGCAACGCCCATCTGGGGCATCTACTACACTTCCAGTCCCGGGCCCCCAATCGAACTTTGATCCACCTCTGCCAATTGAAGATTTGCAAGGTCCAGATCCCCGAGAAGGGTTGGCTCAAGCTCGAGTTTTCAGACCCCTGGTGCAGCCTAATGATAGGGCTTTATCCCTTTGATACTAATGATCTTGATCCGACCTTGTTAAAAATTGCTAACCTTAAGAAGCAATTCAAAAAGGCACAGGGAATTACCTTCATTCCTGACATTGAGGATGGGTACACCGAGGTTGTCGTAAGACTCCCAGACAGAATCAAAATGCCACACGTTGACCGTTTCGGTGGGTCTGGAGATCCTATGGTACATATTCGGCTTTTCTTGGACATACTGAAACCAATGGCTCTGACTAAGCCTCAGAAACTCTCTTTGTAAGGAAGAACCTTGTCAGGTATAGTAGCCACTTGGTATGCCAAGTTGGAGGATAAAGTGAAGCAGAATTGGGAAGAGTTGGCTAAGGCGTTTGTCAATCAGTACTCTTACAATACCCAACTTGAAATGACCATTCAAGAGCTTGAAGTAACCTACTAGAATCCTGGAGAACCTTTTGTGGAATTTGTTGCAAGGTGGAGAGAAAAGGCCGCACAAATGACAGATTGACCTTCTGAGAGGGACCAAGTGCGAATAGTGGTGCAAAACCTTGAGCATGATATGCTACAAAAGTTAATAGTCGCTCCACTATTTACTTTCAAAACTTTGCATGAATTAAGGGTTCAGATTGAGAGTGCATTTAATAGAGGGATTATTCCCAGAATAAGTGAACCAACAAGGAGGGTGTTTTTCGGGAGTACCAATGCTATTCCTAAACCCACGGAAAGCAACACTGTCACCACTCCCAAAACTGTCGACCCATTTGCCAATGCCAACCCACAAACAGCCGGCCCAACCCGAGCTCAAGGTAGAACTTTCACCCTCCTCTATATCAGCCTAACCAACGCACTAAAAGTCCTAATCGAAAAAGGGTATCTTAAATCCCTTGATCCCCAACCTCTTCCTGACCCACTCCCTACCAGACATGACCCCACCAAATACTGCATGTATCATCAGCAACGTAGTCATGGCACTGATCGTTGCTACCACCTTCGCCATGAGGTTTAGAATCTCATTGACAACCAGACAATAGCTCCACCTCAAGACCCTAATGTTACCACCAACCCACTTCTTATCCATGACTGAATATCTCCTGCCCACCTTAACCTCATCTATATACTCCCATCTACCTTCAACCCCAGTATATACATCACCCCGGCCCAATTCTAAGGTGTTCATTCCAGAAAGTACTGATTTGTGCATGATGGATGCACCTAGTCTAGTTCAGGTACGCCAAGGGCACCAAATGGGTGAACCCACTACTGCTGAGATGTAGGGAATGATTGAAAACCTTCATGGAACGGTGGAAGATTTAATATTTGGGGTTTCGATCCCGTCAAAAAGCTCCCCAATCTTGGGGTGAGCTGTAGTTGAAAAAGGCCAACATGAAACTATAATGCTTTACCCGAAACACCTATCCTAATTCTAGTCCCAAGCCTATGAATACCCGACCAACACCCGCCACTCCATTTGCCAATATTACTAAACCTAATGCTTTCTCCTCCCGAAAATGAACCTTCGCCCAACTCCATATGAGCTTAACCTGTGCATTGAATGTACTGATGGAGAAAGGATATCTCAAACCGCTCGATCCTCGACCTCTCCCTAATCCTCTCCCACCTAGACACGACCCTACCCAATATTGCGCATTCCAACAACAGTACGGTCACCATACTGACTATTGCTTTCGCCTTCGCCATGAAATTCAAGATTTGATTGACAACAAAGTCATCACCCCACCTGAATATCTTAAAACTGTCAATAACCCTCTCCCTAGCAGCAATAGATTGCCATTCCAATAACATAAAACCCACCCATAGCTTGCCAACAACCAGCCATTACCCTAGCCAACACATTATACCTGCCAATGAGCCCAAACCTATTGTGTTCATTCCTGAATCTTCTAATTCCGATCTGAGCAAAAGGAACAAAATTTTTGAAGGGATAGAAAGTTTACTCGATCTTGATAAGTTCAAGCTTGATGAAGCAGTGATGCCAGCACTGGTGGTTGGAATGATGAATCTCAGTCTCAGCTAGAGTAATTGTCAAAAGTACTTGGGAAGGACCTTCTGAACTAGGGGCATGGTGCCAACACACTTTTGCTGCTTGGGCTGCCAAGACGCAGCTCCCCCTACAAAAGTGAACAGAATTCCTGATGTAGATCTTCTACCATCAAGATCTCCTGCCATATCTGAATCCGTATATCCTTCCAAGACTGGTTTAGCATCTCTAAAGCACAAACACATTTTTGCCGTACCCTTGAGGTACCTTAATAACTGAAGTTCCAATCCCGTACCTCTACTTCCCTCTAACACCACCGAACCAACTCCACAACCATAATCCCCAACCACCATCATCATCATCATCACTCAAAATATAATCAACCACCTCCATCTCAAACAAAACCCAGAGAGAGGGAGAGAGAGAGAGAGAGTAGATTCAAACCAAATTCCAATCGGATCTCGACCAGATCCGTAAACACATACCTTCACTTGCTAATCTTTACGAACCCTGACCTCTATGTATGAAATGCATGGATTCCATTGCACAAATTCCATTGCACAAATTAGACTGTTCAAAACTCATAAAACAATACAATGTGTGTGTGCATATATATATAGACTAACTTAAATCCATGAGTTCCATATAGAACAATTCAATAACATAATGCTTGGACAAATTTGCATCAATTAAGGTGAGAAAAAGAAAATCAAAAAAAGAACTACATCCTACATTTGAATCTGACCCAATGTATAATGAGCAAGTTTGTACCATATCCAAGACAGACTAGAATTGGTCTAATTCACATGGTGCCCTATTACCGTCAGAGAAAGCGTTTAAGGATAGAATGTGATTCAAATTAGTGCTTTAGTACCTTTAACAGAAACAATTTAAGGCCACGATTAATATATTGCAAAACCTAAATGTCCTTAAAATTTAGTCAATGTTATACTACTCCATGGTGTTATGACATCAATTATCGTGAGATGACAATTTTTTAGTTAAAGTAATTTTTTGAAATCAAAGATGAGAAGTGGCCTAGTGATAGAGTAGGGTCACATTTGATTAGGAGATAAGGGGACAACCTATGACTAGCTTATACTATCATATTTTAAATTTGTGACTTCAGACAACTTTCTAAAATAGATATTATGTTTTTTGGGTTCATACTTCTTTCCCAATATTTAAAATGGGGAAAATTACTTATCATTTTTATATGATAAAATGTGAAGTATTCCCAATCTAAAAAAATAAAGAAACAGTTTTTATTTTCATGCATTTTTATAAAATATAGTTTTGTATTTGTTATCGTGACCCTTTGTGTCAAGTCCTAAATTTTTTTGAAAATTTTTGTGAATACAATATGAGTTAAATTTTTTCGCCATTTCCCTTTTTCTTTTCCTATCCAAATTTCTATCGAGATAATCCAAATACAACGTAAATATAAAATATGAAATATAAAAAATTAAATCTAATTGAATAAGTAAAATTCACACAGAATATTGACAAGTAAATCATACCTTAATTTATTTATTTTTTTCCAACTCCACTCATGCCATCAAAATTTCCAAAGTTTGAAGTAAACCTATTTTATTACCCAAATAAAAAAGAAAAAAAGAAAGGAAGATGCTATAAAAGCATTTACTCTTGTTTCCAAGCAATAGAAAACATTTAGAAGGGAAAATTAGGTCTCTACATTTTGTCATCTTTTGATCCTTACACTTTTAATTGACTCACTTTTTACCCATAATTTTAGATTTTTTAAAATTTTTTTTTATCAATTTGGTTCAATTTTACAAAAAATTAATACTGAATATGTTGATGTTAACTCACTCAGTTGAATAAATTTATAATTTTGTCATTAAAAATATAACACCCGCCAAGAATTGTAATCAATTGGATAAAATTGAGATAAAGTCATAAAATAATGATAAAAATTAAGTCAATTGAAATTATAATGATCAAAGTAGAGGGATCGTAATTTGCCCTATTTAGAAAATAAAACAATAGCAAATCCAAAATGGTGAAATCTGGATCTTAGAAAATTACCTGAAGACTGAGGAGGCATGTCTCTCACTCCTTTTCAGTCCCAACCCCTTAAACGATGAAACCAATGGGATGAAGAATGGGTTATATCAGTTCCAAAAACCTACCAATCAATTTAAAAAAATATCCATGAAAACCATTGGAAAATAACCAGATCAATTTTTTTTAAAAAAATACACGGATGTTAACAATTCGAATGAATAAAAAAATGGAAAATAACAAGATCAAAAAATAAAATAAAATTGATAAATAAAATAACCAGATCAATTTAAAAATAAAAAATAAAAAATACACAGATGTGTATTCACAGACTCAACGCAAGAGGTAAAGGATCTCAATCTATAAAATGATAGAAAAAAACTAAATACTTACTCGAAAACAGAAAACAAATTTTCTTGTTCCTCTTGAATCCTAACCCAATTTTTCAAAGCCTGGGGTTTTTTTTTTCCACCGATATGACAAAATGAAAGAACAATAAAGTTATGAGATAGATTTGTCAATAAAATTTGATTTAGCAGATTATGTGGGCAACTTTGATTTATATAACACTTAGAATATCGTAGGCCTTGTTTGGAAATAAATTTTTTTAGTAATTTTTTTATTTTTTGGCTAAAATATAATGGAAAAAAATTTGAAAAGACTTTTTGATTTTTTACGAAAAAATATACAAAAAAATAAAGAGAAAAAGTAATTTTTGATTTTTTAGTATAAATTATTGACTTTTCAATTTATTTAGTAACTTTTTAACTTTTTGGCTAAAAACATCACTGGCCAAACGAGGCCTTAGTACACACTAACTACTACTAAGTTCACACAAAATACAAATTGAATTTTTATTTTTATTTTTTCTCAATTCGTAATAATAAATTTTAAATAATATTCTTTAGCTTCATCAATTTTAAACATTTACCTTTAACCATAGCCACCATCCGTGGTCGTCGTTGTCGTTACCGTCGGTAACCATGCCATCCCCTCTTGCCCCCATCATCTTTTGCCCTTCAACGTCTAACACCTTATTTTACATAAATTTCAATTTCTCTCTCTATATCTAAAGCGGGGTCGGTGGGGGTTGTACATTGTAAAGTGGGAAAAATCTCGGAGAATACATCGCAGAGGTGGGGCAATGGAAGTTGTTTTTTTTTTTTTTTTTTTTTGTTACAGGAAAATCTTCCCACTCTCCTGCAGGTCCAAGGCAGCGCCCCTTGAGGAGATCACCAGGGTGTCCTGTTGTCCGTTCCGAGTAAGAGACTATAACCTGGAAGCTTGTCCCGACCTCCCAAGGCAAGCTCCGCTTAAGTCAGGACTCGCATAGCGGGGGAGAATTAAACCCACATCAAGTAACTTGAGGTCAAGCTCAGATTGACCCAAAGGGGAGTTGAACCCAGGACCTATGGGCTTAAACCCCATGCCCTTACCAAGTTGCCACTCACCCTGGGGGCAATGGAAGTTGTGCATCGCAAGGGTGGAGGGGTCATAAAAGTAATGGGTTGGCAGTAGTGGAGTTGCGCTAATGATTGTTATGAGGTGACGAGGCACATGAGCTAAGGGGTGACGGCGGGAAAACTAATTTAAAAATATATATTCGTAATTATTTAATAAAAAATAATTTATGTATATATGAAATTAATAATTTAACTAAATTATTTATATACATATAAAATTATTGGGGGTATTTATTAATAAATTATATATTCATGACTTATAGACCATGATCCCATAAATATTCTTATAAAACTATAAGTCCTATCTCACATTAAAATCTCTCAAATAAAACATACCCACATTTGTAAACATAATAAGATAATAGTACGTACATTAAAATATAATAATATCACATTGTTACATTTGACAAAAGTTTAATAAGATAATATTGCACAAATATCTTATTGTCACATTTTAAGAAGAATGGCATATTTGATAAAAATTTAATAAAACAATAGTGCACATTGTCACATTTTAAGAATGATATATTTAACAAAAATTTAATAAAACAATAGTACACAAATGTCTCATTGTAACATTTTAAGAATAATGACACATTTGGTAAAAGTTTAATACAACAATAGTGCATATATTAAAATAATGTTATATTGTCACATTTTAAAAATGATACATTTGACAAAAGCTTAATAAGAAAATAATTAATGCACAAATGAAGTATACCACATTTGAAATATCTGAAAAATATAGTAAAAGAACCTTATGGTATACCTTTTTCAAATTCAATGGGAATAAGGGGTTATTGGGGAAGTGCTAGATTAGTATAATTTTTTACTTTTTATGAAAAAATATGAAATTTGAGTTAGATTTGAAGTGATGTGGTAGAGAGGTGATGTGATCCAAATAAGATAATTTGTTAAATAGTTGTGCCATTTTAGCACATGTAAACTGCAAGAAATGTGATCATCAAAAAAAAGACTACAAGAAAATTCATGTGATTTTGTGATACTTATTTTTTTTTTTGGATGGGACTTTTAGGTAAATTTCCCAAAAAAAAAAAAAAAAAAAAACCGTAATCTTATACATCATGTTATGAAAATGTAAATTGCATTTCCATAAATAGATAGATTGTCATTAATTATCTCTCATACATTTTTTGAAATCTTTATCTTAAATCTCTCCAATATTCAATTCTTAGTCAACTTTCCTTTAATTTTATTTTCTCTTAGGGTTGGTTTGGGAAATGGGTTGGCTTTTTGACTTTTTGATTTTTTGACTATTTTAGCCTAGGCTAAAAAGTCTAGTTTGGGAAGGGTTTTTTGACTTTTTTTACTTTTTTTTATGAGAGAATAGTGTAATGATTATGGGTTGGATGTGATGTTTTGTTTTTTATGGCTAAAATAGCCTATTTTGTTTTTAATATATTTTTTAAAGAGAATTTATCTTAAATATGTTATCTCTATAAATTACAATCTAGCAGTTACGGTGTGAATAAAATGCCCTAACACTTGTGGGTTGGCAACTCGAATTCATGATTAGGAAGTTGAACAAATTATGTGAATACAACTTTAGATAAAAACTTAATAAGACAATAATGTAGAAATGAAATATACTCACATTTGAAATCTCTAAGAAATATTGTAATGTTACGGTGTACCTTTTTCAAATTCAATGAGACTAAATAGACTACAAGAAAATTCATGAAATGTTTTGGTACATATTTTTTTAGGATGTGACTTCTAGATAAATTTTCCAATTACAGAAAAAACAATCATATCCTATGTATCATGTTATGAAAATGTAAATTGCGTTTCCATAGATCGATAGATTGTCATTAATTATCTCTCATACATTTTTTGAAATCTTTATCTTAAATCTCTCAAATATTCAATTCTTAGTTCAACTTTCCTTTAATTTTATTTCCTCTACTATATTTTTAAAAGAGAATTTATCTTAAATTTATTACCTCTATAAATTATGTACGAGGAGTAAATATTCTTTACTTCTGCACTCCTTGCGTCTAAGCTCCAAGTTACTCCGACTGACGTCACTCAGCCTGAAAGCACAACGATGGTGAGCTACCTGGCAGGTGTGTAGCCAGAAAACCCCTCCGACGATCAAGTTAGCACCCTTTTAGAGAGAAGAAAGACAAAAGCAAAGGTAGCTCTCAGTAAGGAAAGTTGCAGACCTTTTGCATGGAGGTGCTGCAGAGCTTATATAGTTTGTGCGCACTACATTGCTTGCCCTTTCTTGGACGCGTGGACACACTATCCTCTCTTTGCCTTACACGTATATGCATCAATCCTGCCAAACAACATTAGCTAAACTTCCAAATGGTATTAACACATACTCTAGGCGGATTCTTCCCTTTGCGATCCAATTGGTCTATGTAGCATACATTCCTCGAGTTGATTATAGCTCGGTCTGCCTTAACACCTTGCGGACCGAATTGGCTTTGCCAGACCGCCATGAGCAACTCCATAGGCTAGGTTTCCTCAGCCTATATCTTAGTTAGCCTTATGCAACCCTTCACAACTTGTAGCTCAGCCGAGGGTCACATTATCTCGACCACTTCTCGGACCTATTTTGGGAAATGTTAATGTAGCCCGGATGAGATCTGTAGCTCGGCTAGAATCAACACTCGCCTCACCTACCTCGGTCCAAGATTCGAATCCACTGCTTGGCTCGATCTCATCTGTCGAGGACTTTGTGGCTCGATTGCCAAGTCAAGGCACACAAGTTTTTCTCGGCCCATTTGTCTAGCATAAATTCTCTTCTTAATTGCCCCTTAATTTCGTCTGCATTTGCATGACTAGAATTACATCTCCCAGCTAAGCTACTCCATGCTCGGCTGTCAATCTTGCTCGGTTCACGAGCCCTCCGTATTCAACGGCATTTTCTCCAATGTCTAACATCATGTCTCTTTGCAGACACGTGGCAACTCCTCGATGGCCCCGTATCGACAATCCAGCCATCGTGTACTCTTCCCCAAAATTCAACTCATGGCATCTTTTTACCTTCTACATATATAACCATTGCTTATACCTTTTCGTCTTCATTGTTTATCATCTTCTCCGATGGAAAACTTAGTGTCCCAAAGCTCCTATCCTCAATTTCTTGCATTTTGTGCCCAAATCGAAGCATTCCTTTTGCGAATTCTGCATCGTTGTCGCCTTTAGAGCATCTTTCACTGATTAGAGCATCGATTAGAGCTCTAACCCGTAAGTTTTTCATATCCATCAGTATTCTTTATTGTTCTTAATGAAGTTCTTCATGTTCTTGAGCCCCTACTATGTTACTCGCATCCGAAACAAAGTAATAGCATCTTAAACCATTAAAAAAATTGGGTAAACTAGGGTTCCACACCATCTTTAGAGTTAAAGTGCCTCTGATTCTTCATTCATGAATGTATTGTTCATCTTTTGAGATAAACATGGGAGGATCTGGGCCAAACTGGCAAAATTTCATTTTTTGATCTAAAAATCGACTAAGACCAAACAAACCAAGAGTTTGCAACGATACCATATAGAACCAAGCTAAAACCCAACTTAGTTGCGCGACCGAGCTAAAATCCAGCTTAGCTGGGTGTCCGGGCTAGATTACAACCTTATGCACAACCGAGGTAACATCTAGCTGTTACGCATGACCGAGCTAATACCCAGCTTATCTGCGTGAACGAGCTAAAACCAAGATCACTCGCGCGACCGTGCTACCACTTGCACTTAACTTTGGTTTTCCACCATACAGAGTCCTAGGAGACTAGGAACACCAACACAAGTATTCTCAAAGGCCGAGCAGTTGCTATTCATAACTAGCCAAACACATTCCACCGACCGGATTACACCGGGCTCCATGGAGCGCTATCGCTTCTTGGTAAGCATGCGGGACAAACTAGCTGAGTTTTACAAGGACTATGATGTTTCAACCGACGTATATCTTAAGCTCAACAAGGAAGGGATACTTCCTTGGGGTAGAGAGAATGCTTTCCCCTTTACCATTCTGTCTATAGTAGAAGAACGATTCCGCTTCCTAGTTCAACCCTTGATCTATAAGTTCTTAAGACAGA